TACTGGATAAATGGTTATTAGGAAATATTGACCATTATGCATTTTTCTAACGGATATAAATAAAATCAAACTACTGGTATTTCACTGATCTCATATTTAGATGATTTTGAACATGTGCATAGGTTTTCTAAATAATAAAGGCATTACATCATTTATTATCATCATTGAGGACACTTACTGGCATTATGCTAAGACATTCCTCTGGTATCATATGACAACACTCGTCATCAGGTTCGAGGTTGTCCCAATCACCTTCCGCTGCATGGGGTGGAGGACTCATCCACCGACAATTGGTGCATTTACACCACCATGGAAATTCTGTCAAAAAAATGATATGGTTCATGATAAAAGGTTTGTGGCAGTGGAAAAATGAAAGTAAATCACGAATTTTGAAAATTGGAATATTGCTTCACATAAATATATATAATGTATAATTATGAGGGAAATATCTAGATTAGATACATGATCAGCTCAGGAATAACAATAATTTTTGAGGTCATTATAATATATTATTATTATAGCTCAAAATTCATGTGGTTGATTCATTGTTTGGTTTTTTAAAAAACAAATATACATACAGCAAGGACAAATATGCAGGGCACATAAGCAAGACACAGGCAGGAATGTAAGAACAATTTACTTACCATTTGGTTCTGGTTGAGGCCCATGAGGGGGTTCGCTTTCACCACCACCATCACGTGTCTTGTAAGATGCTTCGACAACACTATGGAAGACCCCTGGATGTTGCAGCGCAACCTGCTGCAACAGGTTTCTTACCTCACTCTCCTCGAGTAGTGTTATCGCCTCCTACAATTACAATATTTAAATTAACACAAAAATGCCAGGAGATAGGGTGCAAAGTTGTATGTTGCAAGAAAAATGTGTCATTCCTATTTCGTATCACTCTATTGGCCAAATGGTTGCCAAAGTAAATCAATTCAATGACATTTTCTTTCTAATCCAATGAGAGCATCAGCAATATATTATGTAAGAAAACAGAGGAAGACATGAACACCATAAAAACTGACTGTAAGGTATCCGCACAATGTACAAGTGTCAACACCCTCTTGACAGAGACTCTAAACTCCTTGTTGCCATGAATAAGCAATACTAACATGTAATCTGGAAACTGAGAAGCAAATTACCTGTACACGTTCTATTCTCTTGTCTCTCATTAGGGTCCATCTGTTTGCGGAATCTGCACTCATGGACACGGCAGGTTTTTTGGGTTTTGGATGGCCATCTTTGGGGGTAACTTCCCTTTTTCTTGTAGACTTAGGTTTTATAGGCTTCGTGGCTTTCCTTGGTCTTCCTTTCCCTCTTTTTCTTGCAGTCTCTACCACATCAGGTTCACTGGAATCACGCTGGAAGTGAAAATCGAATTCATTTTGAATGAATGTGATAATAGGTACAAATATTGCTCCAAGCCTCTTGTTCACATATGTAACAACTTCCCCTAACTGCTAAGCCCAGCATACAAAAATTTATCTGGACAAATGAATATTCATGGGGGACACCATAGACATAAAACACGTCACAATGCATTATAAATCGTATGTATGATGTACCTTTGGTCACAGTGACCAGTCGATAAGCTCTAAATAGTCAGATTGTATCCTAATTTAGCCCCGGGGATTTGTAAACAAAGACCGAAAGAATAAAAATTGAGAAAATATTTTAAATTTTATTTTCAACATCTATTTTTATCTTTTAGGGCTATTATATATTAAATTTAGAAGGCCCAGGTGATACACCATTATATTCTTACTATGTAAAACGCAATATTTAATCGTACAATATTAAGACAACGTCAATTTAGCAACAAACTTACTTCGCTACTGGTAAAGTCTGGAGATTTTTCCGCCATATTTCTGATTTAGGTCAGAGCCTCGTTCTGAATATCGTGACGTCATTAACCGGGGAATTCGAAAGAAATTGGAGAAGAAGCTAATATTTCATTCTGTTGATATCGTTGCTCAGTTGAGTGTATATAGCTTTCAGGTCAGTTAAACTTTTATAAATGTACACCATTGTCACAGAGAAGTAGGTTTTTAGGGTTCGAAATAACTTCTCAAGTGTTCGGTATTACTTTAACTCAGGTAAATCTTACTTTTACCCTTACAAAAAATCAAATATATTGTTATTAATAATCTAACTTCTTACATGGTTTTTGACGGCATTTAAGTGTTTAGATTACTGAGATTTATGATTCTATTGTTCATATTTTATAGCCATATAAGTAAGAGTTTATCAGGTTTATTGGATTGATAAATATTTAGATCTTATTTTGGAAGGTCTCTGGTAAGAGTATGAATATAAGTCAAAGTTATATACATGTATACATATACATGTATAAGTATACACAATAAGATGATAATGTATCTGTAATGTAGGTGGAGTTATTTGAGAATAAGTGATGATCATAAACAACATATCAATATATCAAAACCATAAGTTGGCACAAGCCACGATGTACTATTTCTTTTTTAAATAAATATTGCATTACTTTGATAACAAAATGAATGTTAGTATAACTATCAAAGAAGTAATGCACAAATTGGAAAGAGGATTTTTATTTATTTATGTGTCACAACATATGTAGAGACATTAAGTGATCAATTAATAATTATAGGAACATCTGAACATGTGTATGAAATGTAGTTGTCCCTTACAGAAAATACATGTAGAATAAAATTTACATTATGTACTTTTTATTGTTTTTCAAAAAGTGTTATCACATCAAGAAAACACCTCTCAATCCAATCATTTTTTAATAAAAGTTGAATTGATCATCTGGAGTTATATCACAAATACATGTACATGTATATAGAATATTTGGTGAGAAATAGTTCAATATATTGCAAGGTGTATTTGTGGTACCATGAGACCTGTTATACATTAATAGATTTTAAAGAGTTTAATAGCATCCCTCGGGCATTTGATAACTGTTTAGTTTTTTTATAACCAGATATACAGTATATACAATCATTGTATACAATGTCAAGGCTTTCAACAGATGGGGGGGGGGGTTATAGTAAAAGTATCGTGAAATATCTGGGAAATTATGCAAAAAAGTACCCTGCATGTCGCTGAGTTTCTTTATAAACTACCCTCTGCCTAGTATAGACTATATTACAGTTTAGTAGCCCCATCCCTACGTCTTGGGCAGCCCAGGTCATAAATCAGCCTACCATGCTCATGCTGATCATTTCTTAACCAATCAGTGAGCTGGAAGGAATACATGCTAAATGCGTGCTCATTGATGTCAGAGGAAATTACCATATATACGTAGAAAGTTCAGGGAAGTCGAACGAATGCAAAGGGTAGCAAAAAAGGATATTTTTCAGTCTCAGAGTAACATCTTTATAAAATAAAACATATTTTAATAGATAAAATTGTCACGAAATATTCCAAAAGTTAAATTTCAATTATTAAAATAAATCAACATTTAAGTTTGAACCACCTGAGGTTTTCCCTACACTGTGTGTGTCAATTTTGAGTATGTTGTCAATTTGTCAAATTTCTTGAAAAGGTGACAAAAACCAATAAAAATGTTCAAAGTTGTCATGCCTATTTCATGCTTTTCTCTGTAAAGTTTGAATGAATTACTCGATTTCCTTGCATTTCTATACAATTAAGATTGTTGACAAAATGTCTGTTTACTTTATTCCTTGCTGATTCCACTCTTTCACTTAACTTTGCAATTTTAAACATGACTGCCATGCCATTTTCTTCAGTGTTCAGACACATATTTTTCTATTGTAAATGTATACATTAAACAGTTAGAAAATATGCATATTAACCTGTAAAATAAACATGGTCATTTTGCCAAGTATACAATAGAAAATTGTAACACAATCAGAATTTTACATTCAGAGTAAAGCTAGGAATAGCTGAAATATTGTCTAATGTTCTAGCCTTTGGTTCTGAGATAAGAGACATCTAAATTGAGGGAAATTGTACTTAAAAATAATCCTTAGTCTTGCTCCAAGACCCTGGACCCCTCTATCTACTTTATGGCCTTTTATTAAAGTACATAAGGGAGGGAGGGGGGGGTCCAGGGTCTTGGAGCAAGACTAGATAATCCTTTGATTTAGCCGTAACTGATCAGTATTCTGGATTCAATAGATCTTATAGCATATAGAACTAGGCTCTTACACTCAAGGTACAGAATGGTCCGAGTTTGTCATCCCTCAAACTCATCTCATAAAAATGAGTGTTTTGCTTTAGGAAACATTATCATCCACAGTCAGGGGATAATGCTGATATGGTTGGGGATAGTGCTAATATGTAGTGCTGGAAAACTGAGCCAGTAGAATGAATTGAATTGACCATCCAGACATCTCAATGAAATACCTTGTAATTGTACCGCATGTATATGTGTTTCACAAGCCATAAAACATCAATTAAGTGGCCATGGCCGTAGATTATATACAGTAAAACGTGTATAGTGGAACACCTTTTAGTGAAACCCCTCCATTAGTAGAACACTTTTTATTATTCTCGTGTCTCATGAACTCAATGTAAAATTAACCTTCAAGTAGAACACTTCCCAAGTTAAACACCATGTTGAGGTACCAGAGTAGTTCTAGGTTTTACTGTACCTTTAACCATTTACAGTAAAACCTGTTTAAATGGAATATCTTTGGTAATTCTAAAAGGTGTTCATCTAATAGAGTTGTTCTTCTTAATTCTAGTGGTTCATTTAACATTTCAAGTCAGTTTGTCTCGGAACTTTGAAAAGTGTTCTACTAACAGAGGTGTTCTACTTCTAAGTGTTTTCCACTTTACAGGTTTCACTGAAAATTGTAAAACCATTTTATGAGATGCATTTTATGAGGACATATAGCTTTAGTTTTTTTCACGAGGTTAATGTACATATAACAATACATTAAATTCATGTTTAACTTTTTAGTTGGTTTGATTTTGTACATATTGAAGTTTAATTTTGCCAAATGAAAATCTTCGGTTGTGTTGATTTTCATGAAAACAAAACAAAGATGAAAAGAGGAGATTTTGGCATGGAATTGAATAAAAAGTATGTAGGGATGTAAAAAATAAGATGGAATATTGGCAAGTGTAATTTTGGAGTGGGTCACTTTTATGGCAGTGCATATGCTATAAATAGTACCACTTATGTTTTATATAAACCAACTTGGGAAAACCTCAAATGTATCTGAATATAAGCTTGTACCTTCTTAATTTAAAAAGCTCTCGTGTGCTGGGAGGTTCTTCTCATATGAGAGAAAATAGAATAAAAATTACAGAAATGTCAGGCCCGTAGCCAGGATTTGCCAAGGGGGGTTAATTTTCAGAGGGGGTTCACATTTGACAATTTTGGCTCAAATATGGCTAAAATCACTTGAGAAGTGCTCAAAATGGTGAAAACTGCATGATTTTGGCAAGGGGGGGGGGGGTTGCCCGAACTCTGCGAACCCCCCTGGCTGACGGGCCTGAATATATACTTATCTATTAAGTGCATACAATTTACAATGTTCATGTTATAGATGTTTTACTGTATTCTTCTGTCTTCCACCAAGTCTCAGACCATCCCATAAATATATTGGGGAGGGGGAGGGAAGGGTCGGGGGTTAGAGCCATTGAAGAATGACTGTTTGAAATGTTATTAGACTGAAAAAGGCTCAAGAGGCAATGTTTGAAATGCAAATTTAGAAAATACACCAATAACTAACTACATAGTAATAAGAGGCAATAGATATTTGGAGGGAATGGGGAGGGGGTCAAAGTGTGAAAAATATAAGGTGACATTCCAAGTATCTCACGAAACAGTACTCATAAGTGAAAAACACACCCTGAACAATATTTGAAGTCTCTTGATCAAAACACTTCAAAAATGTGTTCAGTCCCTACTAGTACATATCAGTTATGTTTAATTTTTTATGTTCAATTTTGACCTCAGCATATTTTAGTTTAACTATTAACTATGACAGGAATGTCTATCCACATGCATTTTTCATTAAAATCTATTCACCTTTGCCGAACAGTGAGAATGAATTATTATATTATTTTATGAATAAATCATGCCAAAAATTTTACAGATCATGCTTAATTCAAGCTTTTCTAGGTAAATTTTGAAAGAACTGTCTCTTTTTAAGTTCTTTCTATACAATTTAGAGTGCTGGCTACATGCCTGTGTACTTTATTCCTTGCTGATTTCACTGTTTTCCACTTAATTTTGCATTTCAAAACATGCCTTTCATGGCATTTTTTCATGAATAAATCATATGTACTTGCAGGGAGCCTTGGATAATGTGAGGATAGGCGAACCTTTATATTAGATGGGATTATAGCAATATAGGATTTATATAGTACAGAAGGATAAGGTGCAGTCAAGTATCAACAAAGTGCAAACAGGTTAGTCTATTTGGATTTTTTGTTTCAGGTCTGTTGGGGTTTGTTAAAGTTTTTGGGTTACTGCTTCTTTGGAATGTACTGCAAGCTTTTTTGTTTCCACGTTTTCACAGGGTTTAGGTGAACTGTGATTTGTGCCTGCCTTTATTTGTGTCATTATTTATCCACAGTTGTATATATCATGGTTAACGCGGCTAAGAAGGAAAGAAACCAACTCTGTTTCTACTAAACCTGCTTTTTCTTCTTCGTAATTTACTTGAAATAAATCTGGGACTTGCAACAGTACTATAGTCACCAAAGCTTTCATTCATAGGAGACTGCAGAAGAGGGAATTCTTTGCCCAAAATATACCCTGGGAACTAAGGCTGTCAATGATAGATTATAAGCTCTTTGTGTAGAGATATAGTGTGACTCTTTGCAAAGGGGTTCTTATCTTATCTTATTTTGAGTGTCCCCATACCCTTTCCAATGTGGCAGTATGCATTAACTTTCTAATTATCGCATCCTCGAAAAAGTTCTCCAATATAGTACTAAAGATTTGCCATAATCAATTTTCTTCAATTTTTTCTTTTGACTAAACTTCTATTGAAACCCCTGAGAAAGTCTACATAAAATCTGACCTCACACCTAGTAGAACTTCAGGACAATGTATTGAACACAGCAGGCAATCAGGTAGTTTTGTTTTGGTAGTTCCTTATCAGAAAACCTGGTCAAAACACTTCTGTGTTGTTGCAATTGACCTCAGGCAGAATCAAAACAACTGACCACAGCTTCCTCTGAGGAAATATTTGCAACCAAACATGTTAAAGGACATTTGGGTGTTGAGTTAGAAAGAGTGCAATTTGCAAGGAATACAGAATACAAGCATGTAGTTGATACACTAAATCATCATAGAAATTCCCCAAAATTATGTCATTCTTCATGTGTTATGGAAAATGGCATGAAATAAACATAAAGTGTTGAATTACAGGGGCATTTTTTGACTAAGCCGTACCTTTATCCTAAGGTCATTGCTTTTTATGGTGTGATAGTGTGGTGTAACCCTTCCTCGAATTCCTTATGGCCAAAGCACGTATTTCTTTTTATATTTGACCGATATGGTATGATATGACATTTCTGTATAATTAGTGTTGATTACCTGCCTGTCTATTTTATTCCTTGCTGATTCCACTCTTTTCAGTATTTCCCATTTTGAAACATGACCATATTGACAGATTTTCCAAGGGCATGTCTACATCCTTAACAAGATGCCCAAAAATATATAGACTTATAAATTGGCAAGATATCATATAAAAATAACTTTGACAACTTAATACATCGTACATGTACATATATACAAAATGTATGTTGGTGATCATATCGGGGAGAATTTTCCTAATTACTGATTTTTAGTTCCATATTTTCACAAAGGGGAAATGTCATAGCAGCATGTAATGAAAATATTTTGATTTTGAACGATATATTCTATAATATTATGTAAATATTCTCATAAATATATGAAAGAAAAGTTCATCAATATTGGTATGGGCTTTCAAGTAGACCATGATATTGGTGACTATCAATATCATAAAAATTATGTTAGTATTCTCATGTTTTTAGATCTACCTTGATGGTAGTATTTCCCAGAAGCTTTGCACCAGACTGTTATAGTACTAGTGCTTGGTACACCACTGCTTTACAACCTAATTAATTAGACATAATTGTTTGTCTGAGAGTGGTATCATGACGGTCATGTTTTAGAATTGAAAATAGGGAGAAAAGGAGTGGAATCGGCAAGGATTAAAGTAAACAGGCATGGAGGGGAAACTCTATATTGTATAGAAATGTAAGAAATTCAGATAGTTCATTCAAATTTTAGAGAGAAATTGAGTGAAAAAGACAGGATCAAAGAGAAATTTTAAGCACTGGTAGATTTATTTATTGTTACAACATTTTATGTATCATCAACATCAGAAGCATACAACTCTGCAGTTAAACCACAGTATGTGAAGACATACTTTAATTAGCTCAATTAAGATGGTTTTAAATCATTCATATCACATAGAATGCTCATTATGAGTTTAATTGATTATTTATTATCAAAATATATTTGATATATGTTAGTACTAAGCTCGTTTGTCAAGATGACTTTAGTTATCATAGTCAGGGTTATTTTAGGTGTGCTTGCTTTTTCACCTTTCTCTCTAAACTTTGAATGAACTGTCTGATTTTCTTGCAATTTTTATATAATTTATTGTGTAACTATATGCCAGATTATTTTATTTCTTGCTGATATCACATTTTCACTGTATTCTTTCATTTTAAAAAATCGTGACATTTTTATTGGCAGAAGATATATCGCCACCAGGGTTGTCATGACATTCTTTAATTACCTGTGATCACTAAAGTAGTTTGCACTTTCTCTTTTGGAAGGACTACTTCAAAGACTTTTTTTTACTTCCTGCTCAAACTCTACAAAAAGGAATTACCTCTTTAAACTTGTATCTAAGGGATACTACAGGGTGTAGATCCCACAATGACGAATAGGTTATTTACTTTTGCGATACAGATCTTGGTTCGGTTCTACATGTAATTTAGGTAGACATTTTAGAAAGAATTTGAACTGGCAAACATAGAGTAATCCCAGTATATAAATGCAAGGTTTTCCCACTTTGCATACATACCAACCAATTTGATTTTCAGTAGCTCATGCGAAACTTCATATCTTAGAAATCCAAGATGCCTTAAAAGCTGTTTCAGGGGTCTCCTTAGCAGTATGCAAAGGGGAATTTTCTCTGGTTGCTTTTTTCAAAGTCTCATATTATTTTGAGGAATTTTGCTGCTTCTATGTTAAAATTATTGTATTGCTTATATTGTTTCTCTGTTTTGCCTAGTTCCAGAAATTCCACATCTGCGCGCAGAGTCTTATAAAGCGAAGCTATCTTTTTAGAAGTAAAGTCGAACAAATGCAAATGGTAGAAATTCTAGTGAAATCTTGATAATGCTTAAAAAATCAACAGTTTGTTATATGTTTAACTTGAGTGATAGCAAAATGTGTGAGAATATGTTATTGGTAACTTAGGTGTAAAGTGTTGTCATTTATGTGTCACTTGCTTGTCAGGTCTTGTCTTTTGCTGTCTTTAGCTCTCAAGTAATTGATTATACACTGTCAAAAGAAGTAACATTTTATGAACTCTGTACAGTATGTGAAATATGTCAGGAGCTTGTAGGTCTTGTAGATCAGTGATGTCATAAGCAATAGAGCAGCTGGGTGCATTGTAGTTTGTTGAAATTTAAAAATAACATGCTACCTTGTCGATGTTCTGCTTACATCTTGTCAAAAATGATGAAAAATTGAGATATTTTTACCAAATTTGGTAAAATCGGGATTTAGCATCCTTTTATTACGAAGTTTCCAATTTTTTATTTTAACTGAAGTGATAGTAAAATGTGTTCTGGAAAATTTTGAGAAAAGTAACAAAATATAATGTTAATCAAAACTAGATTTTGAAGAATGTTCAATCGAATTCAATTGCACATTGCTATGTAATAAATACATGTACCTACATTAGTCGTGATAGCAATTGAACTTTGATTAATTCATAAGCGATGTATGATAATATATAGCATTGGAATGTGGAATATGCAGTGAAAGCTAACAGTATGACCTGTTTGTAATACACATGTATAATGTATAAGAACATGTATTTGATTCTGATCAAAGGCTAAAATACAATATTATGTTGAACATCTAGCAAAACATGAATATAGGTGCAAATATACATACAATGAAATTATATACAATATAAGTGATCCCCCCAGTATTAAAGTAAGTTGGGTAGGCGTGGCACCCACCTGTGATTTTGAAAATAGGCTTGCACCCACCCGGAAATGAGAAAATCATGAAAAATGGGCATATTTTAACCAATTTTGGTTTGAATTGTGAAAATGACAATTTTGCACCCACCTGAGAAAAAATCCTGGGAAGATCACTGAATATGAACTAGTGTTATATATGTATGGGGAGGGACATATGATCTGAACTCTATATGAAACCAAATTTTGGAAAATGAACTCAAAAAGTGGGGATATTTTTTCCAATTCTGGCCCATCAGTAATTTTGAACTTAAAGTGTCTCACATATTCGATCAAAATTTGCCATGCAAACATGTTAGTCTACTTTACTGGCCCCCCTTGCTGTAACAAGGAACCCAAAACACATTAAAACGTAAACATAAACCAATTAGTCACTTCACTATGAAAGTGAGGGGTGTACACTGTGTGCATGGACTAACACAATATCAGTGGTCATTTACTGTGTCAACTTAGTAACCCTTGCATATCGTGCTCACTCAAGTATTGAATAATTTTTTTATGATCTAAATGTTTGTGGTTTATAAAATAATGTGATATATTTTAGTTAGAAATACATTAATTAATATATTCATTCAAACAGCACTAGAATGCGGGAAGAAAGAGCAATGGTGACAAAATGCAGACAGAATTTTCCGTAAGGGTTTCAAACATTTCTGAACACAATCATACATGTACTTCATGTGTACTGTTATTTTTAGTGCTGTATTTATAGATATAATTTCACTTATTAAAATCATATTTTCCAGCAATGACTTCAAATTCGGAACCACACCCATATCACATTTTCTTCAATAACTCCAAACATGTGTAAACATTGACCATGTGCATATAAATTCAGATTTCATGAGCTCTTTCCTATTCGAGTACCTCATACACCCCTGCATGGATTTGAGTTGGATTCGCCTTTTATACGTGAGCCAACACACTCGCAAACACTGATTGGATAAAGATTGCGAGAATCTTTAAGGCTAAGGTTGTGTTTAAATGAACATTTTAAAATGATAACACCCTTTGGTATCTATTTTTGCATGATCATTGACTCTGTTATTATTAGACCCTTTTAATATAAGCACCTCAATATGAACACCTGCACCTTTCCATAAGTGTTTATAGTAGAATACATTACTATGTTTTAAAAGTAAGAAGAC